CACTGTTCTAGATTTCTTGAGTCATACCTTGTGCCATGATAATAATAATAATAATAATAATAATAATAGTAATAGTAATAATAATAATAATAATTTATTATTTATACCCCGCCCATCTGGCTGGGCTTCCCCAGCCACTCTGGGCGGCTTCCAAAAAAATATTAAAATACTGTGACACATCAAACATTAAAAGCTTCCCTAAACAGGGCTGCCTTCAGATGTCTCCTAAAAGTGTGGTAGTTGTTGTTCTCTTTGACATCTGATAGGAGGGCGTTCCACAGGGAGGGTGCCACTACCGAGAAGGCCCTCTGCCTGGTTCCCTGTAACTTTGCTTCTCACAGTGAGGGAACCGCCAGAAGGCCCTCGGTGCTGGACCTCAGTGTCCGGGTAGAACAATGGGGGTGGAGACGCTCCTTCAGATATACTGGACCGAGGCCGTTTAGGGCTTTAAAGGCCAGCACCAACACTTTGAATTGTGCTCGGAAATGTACTGGGAGCCAATGTAGGTCTTTCAAGACTGGTGTTATATGGTCTCGGCGGCCACTCCCAGTCACCAGTCTAGCTGCCGCATTCTGGATTAGTTGAAGTTTCCGGGTCACCTTCAAAGGTAGCCCCACGTAGAGTGCATTGCAATAGTCCAAGCTGGAGATAACCAGAGCACGCACCACTCTTGTGAGGCAGTCCACAGGCAGATAAGGTCTCAGCCTGCGTACCAGATGGAGCTGGTAAACAGCTGCCCTGGACACAGATTTGACCTGTGCCTCCATGGACAGCTGTGAGTCCAAAATGATTCCCAGGCTGCGCACCTGGTCCTTCAGGGGCACAGTTACCCCATTCAGGACCAGGGAATCCTCCACACCTGCCCGCCTCCTGTCCCTCAAAAACAGCACTTCTGTCTTGTCAGGATTCAACCTCAATCTGTTAGCCGCCATCCATCCTCCAACCACCTCCAGAAACTCACACAGGACCTTCACCGCCTTCACTGGTTCTGATTTAAAAGAGAGGTAGAGCTGGGTATCATCCGCATACTGATGGACACCCAGGCCAAACCCCCTGATGATCTCTCCCAGCGGCTGCATATAGATGTTAAAAAGCATGGGGGAGAGGACAGAACCCTGAGGCACCCCACAAGTGAGAGCCCAGGGGTCTGAACACTCATTCCCCCCCACCAGTTTCTGAACACGGCCCAGGAGGAAGGAGCGGAACCACTGTATAACCGTGCCCCCAGCTCCCAGCCCCTCAAGACAGTCCAGAAGGATGCTATGGTCGATGGTATCAAACGCCGCTGAGAGATCCAGCAGAACTAGGAAACAGCTCTCACCTTTGTCCCTAGCCCACCGGAGATCATCAACCAGTGCGACCAAGGCAGTTTCAGTCCCATGATGAGGCCTGAATCCTGACTGGAAGGGACCCAAATGGTCTGCTTCTTCCAGGCGTGCCTGGAGTTGTTCAGCAACCATTCGCTCAATCACCTTGCCCAAGAATGGAAGATTTGAGACTGGGCGATAGTTGGCCATCGTGGCCGCATCTAAAGATGGTTTTTTAAGAAGCGGTTTAGTAACCGCCTCTTTCAGCGGGTCTGGGAAGGCTCCCTCACAGAGGGAAGCATTCACCACCCCACAAAGCCCATCGCCCAGCCCTTCCTGGCTAGCTTTTATAAGCCAGGATGGGCAAGGATCAAGGAGACAGGTGGCTGGTTTCACTCGTCCAAGAGGCCTGTCCGCATCCTCGGAGGTAACAGATTGGAATTGATCCCACGCAACTTGACTAGACAGGACTCTAGCACTCTCCCGCCCCGGCCCTGCTCCCACAGTGGAGTCTACCTCTTTCCGAATCTGAGCGACTTTATCTGCAAAAAAACTTTGCAAAATCATTGCATGAGTTTTAGGCTGTATTATTTTTGTATTGTTCACTTTTATTTTGCCATCAATGAATTTTAATTTGCTTTATTCTGTGGTTGGAAAGCTGCCTGGAAAACATCCTGTTATGGGGCAACTTATAAATATTATAAATAATGAAATATCAATGTGCTTCATTTTGGGCTGGACAATGTTTGTGAAGTGTAAAGCCCCTGCCCCTGCCACCATTACTTGTTTGCAAAACTATCATGAAAGAAAATAGTGAGGGTAGTTGAACTCATCCATTGGTACAATGCCTTCTATTTTGGATTCTTCCCTTTCACCCATTCCCACAACCCTTCTGAGTAATACCCTTCCCCACCCTCTCACTATATATAAAGGTCTGGTGACTTCTTTTTCAGTGTATCTGAAGAAGGTTGCATGCACACAAAAGCTCATACCAAGAACAAATTTAGTTGGTCTCTAAGGTGCTACTGGACTATATCTATCATCTCTCTCTCTCTATATATATATCTATCTATCTACCGTATTTTTTGCTCTATAAGACTCACTTTTTCCCTCCTAAAAAGTAAGGGGAAATGTGTGTGCGTCTTATGGAGCGAATGCAGGCTGCGCAGCTATCTCAGAAGCCAGAACAGCAAGAGGGATTGCTGCTTTCACTGCGCAGCAATCCCTCTTGCTATTCTGGCTTCTGAGATTCAGAATATTTTTTTTCTTGTTTTCCTCCTCCAAAAACTAGGTACGTCTTGTGGTCTGGTGCGTCTTATAGAGCGAAAAATACGGTATCTATCTATCTATCTATCTATCTATCTATCTATCTATCTATCATCTATTTCTACTGCATCAGACCAACACGGCTACCTACCTGAATCTGTGTCACACAGATTCTCTGTGTTCCACCAGATTTCTGTTATGCTAACTATATCAATGCTGTCTCCACGCAAAGTGCTACTTAACAGGCCTATTTTTTTAAAGGGAATTGGTTTATTTGTGGGGTGGGTGGAACAAGGTATATTGCAGCCCATTCCCTGAGCAACTAAGAGGAGTGACCTTCAATGGCAGCCTGTAGAGGAATAACATCACTACTTTTGATTTGCTTCCTTCCCACCTCTCACGTACAAAGATGTGGCTGGAGATTCGTCTTGCCCAAGTGGCCATTTGGCATTTGATCAAAGCCTGTGGAGACTCCTTTGTGCTTCAGAAGAAGGGAACAAACATGCTTGTTCTCTTGGGATGTTGAGGGGGATGTTTCTGAAGACTGGCACATTCCACCCCGGGTGGGTGCAGAGATAACATGATCTCTGAGGCATTGCCTTCCTCCCCTCACCCAAGTTTGCCCGGAGCTTAAAGACTTACATCCGCCACCATCCCTTGCCCCACAAAAGAGGTAGAAGGCTTTTCACAGAATGAACTGCTTAGGGTGGATTTCTCCCACAAGACTAGATGACCATCTCCCCATCGCTCATCAGATCTATTTTGGGAGCAGGGTGGGTGGCAAGGGATTATCTATATTTCCATTTTGGCACTGGGCTGGGTGTACTAGTTTCAACCCATGGTTAGGATAATTGCTCCGCACCTGCTGGTCTTCTGCACATTCCCCTACCTGTGGCAGTGCTGCCACCGGGGAAAGTTTGGTGGGCCTGATCAGGTCCTTGAGGTGGCAGTTCCCACCACCAGCCCCTGGGATGTGTGGTCCAGTGATCTAATATCCTGGATAAGCTTAAGCATTTCATTCTGTGATAGGTCTTCTACTCCTTTTGCTGAAAAGACCACAAGTCATTAAGGGCTGGGCCAGCTTGTGGAGATGGGGTGGGGCAGGAGGAGGAGATGCCATGGAGCACCTGTGACCTCTGTACTTGCCCAGGAAGGGAATGTGCCAGCCTTGAACACCCCCCTCAAGAACATCCACCTTGTTCCACACCACAAATAAAACGAATTCCCTTCAAAAATAACCCTGTTGCTCCCACTCTGTTCTTCCCTTTTGCATAAGTTGGTGAGTGGGATGTGCTTTGAAGACATTTGGAGGCAGATATTTAAACTGGGCTGCTGAAACCCTGGACCATCATTCTCTCCCCCTGCACACGGTGTTCACGGTAAGAGCAGGAGAGAACCAGCTCCAGGATGATTGCTGTGCTGCTGCTGGTGTTTGGACTGACCCCTGCCTGCATATTTCCTGTCAGTGCTGACATCCCTGTGTACCCAAACTTTGACCCCCAAAAGGTAAGACATTTACAGATGGGACTTGCAACCTGTGGAAATGAGTGATGTTTCCCCTTTCCCCTCTGACCTTGCTTCTCTTAGGACTCTGGATAGGACACCTGAGCAGCTTTGCTCTTGAGTAAATAATAATAATAATAATAATAATAATAATAATACCCTGCCCACTCTGACCAAGGACTGGGCTCAGAGCGGCTAACAACAAGAATATAAAACATTAATATAATATCAGGCAGGGAATAAAAATATTCTAAAATCAATGAGCTAGAGTAAATCCAATCAGATGGCAAATGGCAGATTAGGGTTGTTGATCTTGAATGCTCACAGTAAAGGCCCTGTTGCTTTTGGGTCCCCCTTCTCCTCTCGCCCAGGCCCACAAACTTGGCTATCAGCAGATTAATGGCTTTCTGATTTTGATTTGTGCTTCTAGCTCTGGTAGGAAAATTACAGAGATGAGGTGGGTTGCTTTATATCAGGCACGTCCAACTCCCCAGAGACTGCAATGTACTCCCAGGATAAAATAACTGGCACTAATCTATGCATTGTCATTGGAGGGAGGAGGAGTGTGTGGGTTCGGGGGGGGGGGGATGACAAAAAATGCACAACAGAAAGTGCAGCACTGAAAACTGAATGCAGTGCTACAACCAACATTACTTTCGCAGTCAACCGACTGGACGTTACTATTTTATATATTTAAACCTATCACCTTTCGTTGCCCCCTAAAATGTCAATCAAAATTCTTCTGTTTTAGGCTGTCGGGAAGTGGCACCCCATCGGGATGGCTTCCAAGTTGTCTGAGTTGAATGAGCATGATCAGAAAATATCACCGATGGACCAAACGGTGAAGGTTTCGGATGGAGATATGACAATCACCGCTAATTATATGTCGTTAGTACCTTACAACTGATACCTCTCCTCCCATCATGCATAGGCTGGGGATTGAACCGGGGTCCTTGTGCATGCAAAGCAGGTGCTCTGCCACTGAGCCACAGCCCTGATTTCCCCTGAAATCGTTTTCAGATGCTTTGGAAAGGGCATAAAGTTTCTGGCACTGCCAGTCAGTGTAGACAATATTGAGCTGGATGGAGCAATGTCCAGATTTTGTACAGAGCTGCTGCTTAGGGAAGACCACATGTTTCCCATCCCATTTTATCTCTCTCTTTTTTGTGTGTGTCTTGTTTTATCTTAATATATCATAACGAGCCACTTAGGTTGGGCATAGTGATATAAATAAAACATAGCTGGAATGCCAATGGAGACATTGAGTAATCCTGTGGAAACCATTTGATAATGTAGAGGCCTCCAAAAAGGCCTGTTCATTTTGAAGGCATTGATAGCAACAGGGTGCCGTTCCTCTTGACACTCTGGCTATCCCTCCCTCTGGTAAAGTCTAAGGCATCTTACTGGTAATGTATTCTTCCATCAGCGGCTCTGACACCCTAAAAAATACATGTGGGGGAAGCAAGGCAGAAGCAGGCTGGGTATCTGGTTTTGAAGTGCTTTCACTTAGCTCTCTTTTCCAGGGATGGTGTCTGCAAACAATCAGCTATTGTGTTAAAGCACACTGACAAACCTGGTGTATTCGAATTTCCTGGTAAATATGACTACCATGAGCCACCCTATTACCTGATGACAAAGTATGTTTTGTGATTGGAAGATCCAGATGCTGTGATTTGGGCAAATGGTCAAACATCTGTTCTTTTTCCCATTTACATTCTTTCTTTTGAGTGCAAAATCGAGTTATGAGGGGGAGAGCAGTGCAATCACCCACCCACCAATAAGGTTGCTTATTTTAGGAAATACATAACTTGCCTAGAAAAGGGCCAGTGCTTTTTCTGGGGGACACAGGGGTACGCATACCCTTAAACATTTTGTCAATCTAAGTTTGGCCTCATTGAGGAGCAGTATTTCAATATGAGTGGGAATATGAGAGGACCCCTAAACTTTTTTTGGAAAGAAAGCACTGGGTCTTGCTAAACCTAGGTAGCCTAGAGAAAACAAAGGCAGCCATGCTTGCTCCATAGTTCTTTCGGAAGATCGTTCCAAGCTGACCTCTCATCTTGAGATTCAAGAGAGAAGTGAGAGGAGGAGGAGGAGGCTGTAAAGAGGATGCAGCATAAGACTATCAGTCTAAATAACAAAGAGATAGGAAGGGCAAATGAGGAGTTAAAGGTACGTAACAGTCTGGTTATGTGGAAGTCCTTTACCTCGTTGCAAACCCTTCTTTTGCAAGCTGATTTTCCCTCAGTTTAAACAAAACATATAAATATTTTTAAATCTCCATCTGCGTTTTGTGATCTGAGAGCAAAAGAGCAGTATATGAAGGTTGCTAAAAGAGACATCACAGTACAGTGGTACCTCGGGTTAAGAACTTAATTCGTTCGGGAGGTCTGTTCTTAACCTGAAACTGTTCTTAACCTGAGGTACCACCTTAGCTAATGGGGTCTCCTGCTCCCGTCGCACCTCTGCCACGTGATTTCTGTTCTCATCCTGAAGCAAAGTTCTTGACCCGATGTACTATTTCTGTGTTAGTGGAGTCTGTAACCTGAAGCATCTGTAACCTGAGGTACCGCTGTAACAGGAAACTGCCAAAAACTATTTGTCCGTTTGCCTGAGTTTGACCCACTCAGACTGACGGTGGCTCTTTCCATCCCAGTGTCAGAAGTCTCTTTCCATCCCAGTGACAGAAGTCTCTTTCCATCCCAGTGACAGGATCCTTTTAAGTTGCACAACATCAGGAATTGAACCAGGGCATTCCACATGCAAAGGAAGTGATTTACCCCCTGAGTTATGGTTCATAGCCGATGGTTAAACCAATGCCTCCACTTCCCAACTTAGGAGGATATGATTTGCCTTGTTGCCATCCAAAATTAATCTTGGGCTTTTCAAAATGGAAGACTCCTGCTTTCTCTTTTGATCTCTCCTCTGCTTAACCAGGAGGAACTTGAGTGTTTCACTCAAGGCTGCACAAGGGAGTTCTGGGTTACAGCTGGGATCTGTGCTCTCAGACCTGGGGAGCAGTCTTTGCTTCTTTATCGCAGAATCCCTGGCAGCCAGACAACTGATGTTCATAGTACTGGGAAGAGACTCTGTCACCCTACAATCTTTATCTTGCAACTGATCCTTTAAGCTGCCCTCATATATATCATCATATATATCATCATATATATCATGCCCTCATATATATCATCCCAGTCTGATTGGTTTTTTGGGTGGGTGGGTGAATTAATCATTATTTTGGTAATATTGTGCTCGATGAAGAGTGCTGGAGAACTTAAAAGTTGGCCAGTCTTTCCTGACACTAGGATTGGCTGAAATAAATGTAATGCTCACCTAGAGGGTTTTATTATTTTTGAAATGGACACAATATGTCCCGGGGTGCCGTTTGCACACCGAAAAGTCCGCAACTAGAGCGGTGCTTCTGTGCAAGCATGGAGTGCACACGGCCATTCTGCGCATGTGCGAAGCGTGCAGAATGCATCTGCAACATGAAGCGAACGCAACATGAAGCGAACGCAACTAGAGGTATGACTGTATTGAGAAAGAGGCAGGAGGGGGTGTCCTTCCTCAAAGCAAGGCCTTCTGGGGAAGGGGTTGAGAGAGTGTCCACATAATCATATATTTCCTATGGTAACTAGTCAACATTTACATTTAACTTTAGATTTTCAGCATAGTACTTGCAGCCTTGGCTACACAAACACCTTCCTTTTAGGAAGGACGCCCTTTTCTCTGACTCAAGAGCTAAGGAGTCTGCCATGCCTAACACCATGGCTAAAAGAGGGGGAAAGTAAGACAGGCAGCAAGATGAAATGTGTGGGGGTGAAGGAATGGTGGTTCCCACTGCCTGCTTTAGGGAGGGCAATCTGTGGCAGTGGACCTGGGCAGGACACTTATTAAGTCATGGAGATTCACCTCCCTTAAAATTCTGAAGACATATTAATGAGAGGGTGGGAGAAAGAATGAATAATTAAGGTGACTAAGAGTGGCTGATCCCAATTTGCCTGCCCCCCCTCCACTAACAGCAAAGAAATGAGGAACCCGCTTCCTTCAGTTGATATCTTGTGTTGTTTCCTGTATAGATGGTATTGCCCACTTGATGGATATTGATTATGAAAAGTATGTCATTTTGCACAAGAAGAAATTAGAACATGAAGCTATATATCTGTCTGGTATGTGTTATGGCAATGGATTTTATTTTTATTTATTAAATACAGCTCTTCACCCATAGATCTCAGAGCAGTTCACAACATAAAACAAACAAACCAATAACCCTCACTCCACCCTGTGGCATATCCGTGGTTCAGCAAAAAGGATGCTAGTTAGTTAGTTAGTGTTGCTCTTTTTCAACTCACTCTTCAGCCACAAACAAGTTACAAATCTCTCTCTCTCTCTCTCTCTCTCTCACACACACACACACACACACACGCCCTAAAAGTCACAAAAGGAGAATGGGTTGGGAGGAGAGGAAAGAAGCAAGCTCAGTTTCAAGTTCTGAGTTTCCAGTTTTTCTGTGGACCAGCCAGAGCAGGAAAAGTTCAAAGGAAGGAGGCAGAGCCAGTGCTGCTCCTCACTCTGCTGTGCTGAAGGAATTGGCCCTGCCCTGCCTTTTCCTCCTGTAGTACAGTTTGGTGGCTGGTGGAAGGTTTTGCCTAAAACATCTGGAAGGCATCCATTTATGGAAGGATACCCTAAGTTCTGTTCAATCCAATTACGGCTCTAGTTAACATACAAAAATAGAATATAAAATTATTGAATATCTTTATCTATACTTATCTGGATAATTTCTACACCCCCCTTTTTTTTGCTGTCAACAGTCACCTATACTGTACAGAGTTAAAAAGAAGGAGGAAAACCTATTTAAAATCTTGACTACAATAATCTTCTAGAATAAAAAGTGGCCAATGGAATAATCAACGCTTCCCATGGTGAAGGAATATCTTTTTTGGAAAAGGGGGTTGAACCCTAAAGAATGGCCACTTTAGCACTTCACAATGATCCAGCAGAAAGAGCAGCTACCATAAAGCCTCCCACTAGCAAATAGGGACAGTCAGCACCTGTGTAGGCTTTCAGTTCCTTTAGATCAGGCATGGCCAAACATGGCCCTCCAGATGTTTTAGGACTACAACTCCCATCATCCCTAGCTAGCAGGACCAGTGGTCATGGATGATGGGAATTGTAGCCCCAAAACCTCTAGAGGGCCAGGTTTGGCCAAGCTTGCTTAGATCCTCTTCTCTGGTTTCATGGGGGTTCTGTTCCTGACTGTCTAATGGACAATCCAGAGAAGATGGCAAGAATAAGAGACTTTGGGTGCTCTATAGACATAAAACAGATATTTCAGCCTTTCTGAGAACAACAATTTACTCAGCCTTTGCTTGTGTTTAAAGCTAGGGGATCGGAAGTGGGAGATGACATCAAAGAAAAATTCAAGAAGTTAGTTTTGGCGCAAAACTTTCCTGAGGCACACATCAAATACTTTGGGAACGTCGGTAAGGCAACCTGATCTCAATATTTTTTTGTTGTAGATGTGTATGAATGTCTCTGTGTGAAACAGAATCTGAGGAGCTATATTTAGTCTCAGAGAGATTCACAAATCTAGATCACCACTACAGTTTGAGTACAGTGGTACCTCGTTTGCTGAATGCTTCAGAAGTTGAACATTTTGGTTTTCGCCGGAAACCTGGAAATGAATGCTTCCGATTTGAATGCACCTCGGAAGTCGAACGGCTACTGAAGCTCATTTCTCAATTGTCTCAATTGAATTTGCTGACTGCCCATTGTGCCTTGGTTGTCGAAAGTTTCAGAAGTCGAATGGTCTTCTGGAACAGATTACGTTCGACAACTGAGGTACCACTGTAGTTAAATCACTGAAATTAACTGAGGTCTGATTTCCATGCTTAATCATAATTAAAGCACCTGAAGCTATCAGGAATTGGTGGGGGGTAGATTTGCTAAGGGCAGCAGACAATTTGGACCTAGCTGTGGGAATGGATAGG